AGTCAGTATCATGTCCATCAACTCATACTGTAACTGGGATTTTAGAAGAACATTTCTCACGTTGTCAGATTAATCACAGGTAATAATGTTGAATAATGCCTCTTTCAGCTGCTGTTGGAATAATTCAGTTGCTTCAGTTCAGTAGCTCAGTACATCACAGTACCAGTGAGGTATGGATGTGGTACCTCATGTGACCACTAGATGGAGTCAAGCACTACAATACTACAGCTGTCCAAACTCCACACACTTAATACTGTGATCATAAGGATAAGGAAGTCTATTGTGGCTAAACAGAGAAACCACATTTTCTGATCATTAATACACTTGTTACTTCTGTGAACTGATACCAAGACTAATCCAGCTCTTTCTAGTGAATCTGTAGTACTTATACTTCACTCTCACTTCACTGTATCAAACTCCGACCTCAGTTTATGTCAGGACAAACTCACCAGTGGCTTCGTTGTAGTACACACTGATCCTGTCCAGCTGCAAGTCGCTGTCTCCATGGTATGTTCCTGTTGGGTCGATGCCGTGCTCATCACTGATCACCTCCCAGAACTAAATAGTCACAGGCCAAAACGTCAGTGGTACAGAAGTCATAAGGAAGGTGGCATTACAGGTGTGTGCTGAAGTCATGCAAAATGTCTCCTTGCTTTGAATTCACTTCATTTAATTACAGTGAAACAGCCTAATTTACAGACTGTACTTTGACAACAAAGGGTGGAGAAGCTGGAACAACAACAGAAGGGTTATGGAGGAGGGGTGTAGCTGAGAGACACCACGTCCTGTCCCACTGTGTTTATCAGACAATGTAGGAAATCTTATTAATGCACCTTTAAATAATAAACTACTTGTAGTTAATCTGGGCATCTATGAGAAGTTATCCAGCAACTTAATAGACAGGAGAAGATTTCGTTTGGAACCAGACTGGGCAAGTCAGTGAATTCAGGCACAGGTAATCCGATGTGAACTGAGGATGACCTCGGTTTCGCTAAGTCCTCTGTAAATACACGCGTCTTTACTGATCAGTCTGAGTAACCCCATGTGCTGCTGCCATGCCTGTTATTGTCCCCCTGGGGCAATTCAGCTGGTTAAACGTGTAATGGTTCAAATTAACCTTTAAAAAACCCTACAAGAATCCCAATTTTTTTTTTTTAAAGATTCAAAGCAATCCATGAGTTGTGTTTCTGATGCATAAATGTTTCAGCAGATAACTGACTGAACATTAATTGCTTGTCATTTTTAAACAAAAATGCCAAAACAACTGCTGATTTTAGCTTCTTAAATGTGACAATTACATGCTTTTTTTTTCTTTGTACCTGACATTAAACTGAATGTCTGTGGGTTTTGGGCCACTGATCAGACAAAATGACATCTGAAGACTTCACTTGGCCTGTAGGAAATTATAATGGGCACTTATCACTACTGATTGTCACTTTATACACAAAACAATTCACAGATTAATCAATAAAAATGGGCAAATTTACCAATAATAATCAGTTGCAGCCTCATCTTGAAAGACATCATGAAACATGCAGCAAAAGTAGTGATAAATATGAAACACTTAATTCACAGATAATCACTCAACAAGTTCGAGTGTAAACAAGTTTTTCAGGGTCACTGGTGGTTTGTGGGCCCGTGCATGTGACACGCTGACTGGAAAGGCAGCCCTTTAAAGGAGCTCATGTGTGCTTTCAGACAGTGGGCCACTTGTCGTCTCTGCCCCTTCGCCCCCTCCTGCTGCGTTCCTCTGCTCTGCCTCAGCAAACTTCTCTTTCTCTTTTCACCCTCTGCTCTTGTCTTTTTCCTCAGCGACAAAGCTTCCAGCTCAGCGGGTGGACAAGGTGGCAGCTGGCCCAGCACGCCTGACCCAGTCTGGCCAGCTTCATTAATCATGAATCACTGGTTTGTCATCAGTGCCAGATGTGTGAATTTTTTAAATGGAATGTTATATGAAGACTATCGCTACAATTTCTTTTATGCTTCTTAATTATTAGTCCGTGGTTTTATTAACTCATGGAGCTTTTAATGTATCACTCACTTTAGTATAACATCAAATACTGGGAACGGTAGTAGTGGTAGTACATAATGGTATTATGTTGGTGTATTTGAGTAGATCGTATTGTACTTTGTGGTACTTTTAATAAGAAATCACATCATTAAGATATTTAACAGTGATTTGTTGTTTCTGTCAGGTACTTTGTATCAGTCTTACAGGTCTTAAAGTATCCTCTCATCCATTGTTAAAACTGGATTAAATTAGATTGTTTTATATTTCATTTCTATTTTACCATTAAATATTATAGTGATAATTCTGTGCAGCAGTTCTGTAAAATGCATTTTAAAAGAATAAAATATATGCATTTCCCTTAGATAAAGGTATCTGGCACTGTAAACAAATGAATTTGGTACTATTAAGGCGAGAACTAATCAACTTTAAACTCATATGTATCTTAAAATTATGGGGCTATAATCGCGTGTAGGCTTTAATCAGGACTGTGATTTAAAAAAGAAGAAAAGGTAGCTATTTCAATCAGGCAATAGAAGGTCTATTCACAAACTGGTGAAAGATGAACAGATTAAATGGTGAACTGAGTCTCTGAGTGACAAACAACAGGACTCCATTGTGTCTGCTTTTGTTGTTTATACAGATAATATATTATTTTCGAGATACAAGAATTAAGCAGTTGATTTTATAAGTCTGTAATTCAATTTAATTGAACTGTTAAAATACACAACAAAAGAAAGGCACCTCAAAAAGTTTTCACAATAAGATAACTGGCAAAAAGTGGAATAAATAAAAACAAAAAGACATTTGCCTGTTCTCACTGCTTCTCCTTACCTTTGCACCAATCTGGTTCCCGCACTGTCCGGCCTGGATATGAACAATTTCCCTCATGATAGCTGGTGGTTAGTGATGGAAATAAAAAGAGGCAGTGATAAAGAACCAACCTACCGACTGATTACAATCTGAACAATGTGTGCACTGCTCCGAGTCCCATAGGCAAGGACAAAGTGTTGGGACGCGGCCATCGCTCCGTTCACGAGTATGATTGGCTGATAGCAGTGCTTCCCCGGCGCTGATTGGCTGAAATGTTAAGTTCTAACGGGGTTTTCTACAGTCAAAAGCAAGGACCGGAAAAAGACAGGGAGTGCCTGGTTTTGTCATCGCTGCCCCGTTGGAGCCCCATTAACCCATTGAAATAATGCAGTAGAATCAGTGATGGAAACACTTAAGTACAAGTCTGAGAATATGTATTACACTTGAGTATTTCCACTTACACCCATATTAATGCTGTAATTCCACCAGAGATGGAAGAAGTAGACTACTCAGATAATTTTCCTCAAGTGCACCAGTGTAGAAAAAAGTTCAAAAGTGTTCATATAATTAGAATACCTTATGCAGAATGGCCAGTTTCAGACTGATGTATAGATACTGATGCATTGATGTGTGCCTCATTTCACTGTAAAGGTGGAGTTCATTTTAATTCTAGCCCAGCAGTCAATCAAACTTTTATTGTATTATTATTTATTATAGCATAAATATAAAAATTATTTATTTTATTATATGTTGTATTATTTTTCTGAAAGTGTAACTAACTGCAAAACAAAAAATAAAATAGGAATTAAAATGATTGTCAATATGTTGCAATATTAGTACCCTGTGTAAATAATAATAATCATAAAGGGAGCACTACAGGGCAAAATGGTTTATATATTATAGACTTTTCATTCATTCATTTTCTACCGCTTAGTCCCTGATCGGGGTCACGGGGCTGGGCTGAAGCTGATTCTGACTATTTTAAAAACTACTGGGTGGTTTAATTTACTGTATACCTAAATGCATTATACTTTATATTCTCCCTATAGTTCTTTAAAATCTGAACCTTAACATAACTAGCAGCTACAGCCTTCAAACTGATAGCCTATAGAGGTGTAGAAGTTATTTCACTCTGAAATGTTGTGGAGTTGGTGTAAAGTAGGCTAGAAGAAAAGGCCAATACTCAGGTACAAGTGCCTCATCATTGAGTGTATGTACTTAGTTTCGTTCTACCACTGCTTAATTCATAGATTAAAGTATTATACAAACCTATTAGCAGTGAGACAACTTAATTTAGGAGGAAAACGTTGAGCAGAATAAACTGAGGCGAATCCATGACAGTTCCCCACCGCGCCACTAGGTGGCGGACGCACACAGGGGGGACGATGGGCGTGCTCAATAGAAACCGCTGAGCTGCGGTCAGTGTATATACGATAGCATCCTCTAATATGTTTTTATCGAGATTAGCCTTCCCTTAGGATTAAATCATATTATTTTCAACTAACACGGACCGCTATTTTTTTAGCATTTTCACCCCGCTTTTCCTAAACCAGTTCGATCCTATTTTAACTGGTAAGTGTGTGACTATATTGCGCATCTATCTACGTCCATTCTCGATTGTAAACATCCATGTAGCCTATATTAAAATGAAGGAATTGACAGCTAGCCGCTGGCAATTTGCAACAAAGTAACGTAAACCAGGCCTTAAATCTTCTCTAATGAGTGGCTGTAATGTATGTTTTCTTTTATTCGGGCGTGTTTTCTTGCGGATTTTACTGCGTAGAATTTGTGTAAATTGGATTTTAGCCTGCTGATCTGCTCTCTGCTTCCCATCACAACCCTTCCTCTTTTAATTCTGAAACAAACAAATAAGATAATGTAGAAAATATATCCAGTGGAGGTGAAATGCGCCTATTTCATATTAATGCCACTGACATTTCCAAACATTTTCCTTATGAATAGAGATGCTTGACTGTTGTATTCTACTGCTTTCTTCTATTTTTAGTCTGAACGAGGATCAGCAAACATGTTCTACACTTGTGGTCCCAACGAGGCTATGGTGGTGTCAGGTATAATGGTGACCTGTGTGACGATTGTTTAAAAATAAATAATACCATTTCCATTGGAATCCACACATATGAAAACATAAATAACATTTTTATAAAATGTCATTATTGTGTAAAGTTCATAAAATAAGAATGACTCCGTGCTAGTTAACCAGTTTTTGGTTGAATATGTAATTCTGAAGTGAAATGTATGTGTGTGCTTTTTTTTTTTTTATTACAATTTGTCTTATACCAAAGATGTTTTATGCCAAAAATGTTAAAATACTCTGCTTGTATATTTTGTCCATTGGTGGTGTCTAAACTGATTTGAGGCTCTACTCTCTCCCAGGCATCTGTCGTTCTCCTCCGATGATGATAGCTGGAGGCCGAGTGTTCGTCATCCCATGCATTCAGCAGATACAGAGGTAGGAAAACATCTGTATCTGTTTTTTATCTTCTTCTGTCCACTGCTGTCTTCCGGTCGATCATGCTCGATATTACTGTGCCCTTTTAACTGAGACATATAGCAGGTGGCAAAAAGCACCACAGCACACAGAAATGGCTACACTTAAATGTGTATGTACCATTAGAGCAGAGGAAAACCAATCAGTAATCATTGTTTTCTTTATCTGTCCCCTCGACTTTATACAGGATTTCTCTGAACACTCTGACTCTGAATGTGAAGAGCGATAAAGTCTACACCCGCCACGGGGTCCCAGTCTCTGTCACCGGAATAGCCCAGGTACGTGTGAACCACTGCAGAGGAAACAACAGGCTAGTGCCCTGGTGAAGCAGGAGGAGGTTTCGCTCAGGCACACAAGTAGAATCTAATGGACAAAGTGTTTCTGTAGGAAAACAACCATCAGCTGCCTCTTTAAAACTGTATAACATAGATGCAGCTGGAAGATGCAGCTAGTTGCCCATCTTGGCTTACACACATTTCTGTGTGTGAGGTTTCCAAAACAAGACCAAGGTGGCACAGAAAAATAAGTCAAGCCAAATTTTATTTATATAGGCCAGTATCACAAATTTACTCAAAAGGGGTTTTACAGTTTGTGCAGTATATCACCTTCTGTCCTTAGGCAGCGTTTCTGCCTTGCATGTATTTACTATAGTAAGTTAAGCAGTTTGTTGAGGAATATCTGTTTCCTACAGATGAAGATCCAGGGTCAGAATAAACAGATGCTGGCTGCAGCTTGTCAGATGTTCATGGGGAAGTCAGAGGCCGAGATCGCGCAGATCGCCCTGGAGACGCTGGAGGGGCACCAACGGGCCATCATCGCCCACCTGACTGTTGAGGTACAGATGTGATGGATGTTAGTGTCACTGTTTATTTTTTAAAGTCAGAGTAAGGACAAATGTATTAAATTTCAATTGTTTAATTGTTCTAAAGATGTGAATGACACAACAAGACACGAGTTTTAAGTTGAAGCTGTTATAGACACATAAGTCTGCAGCAAACCTGTGTTAATGGCAGTGTAACTTAATTTATTAAATAGACTGATTTGGATTCATAATCCTAACATTGATGTGACACTAAACATCTTCCTCTTACAGGAGATCTACAAGGACCGTAAGAAGTTTTCAGAGCAGGTTTTCAAGGTGGCCTCCTCTGACCTAGTCAACATGGGCATCAGCGTGGTCAGCTACACGCTCAAAGATGTTCATGACGACCAGGTACTGCTGCTCTGTCGTCTACTAAAGCCACAACACATTCTTAAAAGGGTGTTTTTTAAATTTTATTTCAAGTGGTTGTCAGGAGGAGAAACGGCTCCCACTGTGGTTTGTTCTCAAAACATTGTGGTGGGTTCTAAAATTTTAAAGGAGGTCATGAACCTGATTGAACACACATCTGATCTTCTTTCTCCCTCTGGTGCACAGGATTACCTTCACTCTCTGGGAAAGGCTCGCACAGCCCAGGTGCAGAAGGACGCTCGCATCGGAGAGGCCAAGAACAAGAGAGATGCTGTGATAAGGGTGAGATGAATCGCATCGTTTCCATCTCCATTGATACTGTTATTCCTATGAAGGTGCTAAGTGTCTCATTTCAACATAAATGCCCTCTTTTCACAGGGAGCAGCAGGGTTTAATGGCCTGTAGCTTGTGGTAGAGGCCATCCTGATGATCCTCTTGTTTCTAGAAGTCTGTTTATAGAGCAGTCTTTTCCTCCGCTTTGTCTGTTTTACTTTGTCACCAGTGATATTTGTCTCTTAACTCTTGTCTGTATTTTAGCATCTTCATCCTGTTCATACTATTTTCTAGAGTTATTCCCTTTGATCCAATGTTTTCTCTGTGTGTGTCTGTCTCTCTGCAGGAAGCCCATGCAATGCAGGAGAAAGTCTCAGCTCAGTACAAGAATGAGATTGACATGGCAAAGGCCCAGAGGGACTATGAGCTGAAGAAAGCAGCCTATGACATCGAGGTCAACACTAAGAAGGCTGAGTCAGAGATGGCCTACCAGCTGCAGGTACATGGGTAGATAACAATGGGTAGTACTGCAGCTGGGTATTTGTAGAGTAAGAAATGCATCTAGTAATTTACAAGTTGCTTTAACTGTTGAGCCTTAACTAGTTTTAATGTTAACTCTTTGATTCAACTCTCATTTCTTGATAGGCTTGATGTGATTTATCTTTAATTTACTCTTTTCCTTTTCCAGGTAGCAAAGACAAAGCAGCGTATTGAGGAGGAGAAGATGCAGGTGCAGGTGGTTGAGCGGACGCAGCAGATTATGCTGCAGGAGCAGGAGATCACTCGCAGGGAGAAGGAACTCGAGGCCAAGGTGAAGAAACCTGCAGATGCTGAGCGATACCGCCTGGAGAAACTGGCTGAGGCTCAGCGGTGAGTTTCAGCTTCATTCTCACTGTTCCTGAACAGCAGGATGGTGGCGTGAGTAGGCAGGTGCTATTTCAGTGTAAGGCCCATGTGTTTACAGTACATTCTCTCTGTTGGCGTGTGCCTATGCAAAATACCGGATCCCTGTTGTTCAGTAGCTGAGCTGATCATTGTGCAGGCTGCAGTGAAGATCAGTTTCTATCTGTAGTCGACCTGCAGGCCTTTTACCATTTCTGTAGTTTGTTTGAGGGAAATAAATGACAAAATCAAAATAGAAAATCACATCATTTCTTGCTTTTTCCCTCCATTATTGTTCATAATATAAGCTGCTATACAGCTACACCTGTTATTGGCACAGATGGTTCAGCCCATGTGTCTCTCTACTCACTGTCTGATTCTACATTTCTCTCTCTCTCTCTCTTCTGTCCAGTCTGAAGTTGATCATGGAGGCAGAAGCTCAAGCTGAGTCCATCAGGGTGAGTCACAGATCACAACAGAAGAATCACAGCTCAGCTCTCTTTAGTTTTCAAAATGGTTTAAGATGGAAATCATGTTGAGAACTTTGTACATATATTCAGTATTGATCCTATGCACACAAGCTCTGTTGTTGTGTGTGGACCTGTGCATCTCACACGGAGGAGAAGGCCCTCTGTGGGGCTGTTTTGGTAAAGGAAGCTCATCTTTGTGTCTCCTTCAGATCAAAGGTGAGGCTGAGGCGTTTGCAGTGGAGGCCAAAGGTCGTGCAGAGGCAGAGCAGATGGCGAAGAAGGCAGAGGCCTTCCGGCAGTACAAGGACGGAGCCATGGTGGACATGCTGCTGGAGAAACTGCCTCTGGTGAGAGACTGCATTCTTTTCACTGCTTTGCTTGCACACTGTCATCTCTGGGTGCTCCATGCTCTTCATCTGCTTGTGAAGGAGGCTCTAAAGGTCTGATCATGGCTCTGACATTTGGTAAAATGTGTCCTCCACTAGATGGCAGAAGAGATCAGCAGGCCTCTGTGTGGAGTCAACAAGGTTACCATGGTGTCCAGTGGAGGAGGGGAGGTGGGTGCAGCCAAACTGTCAGGAGAGGTGCTGGACCTCATGATCCGCCTGCCTGACATGGTGGATAAACTGACCGGAATCAACATCTCCCAGGTAACACAGTCATGCCTGTGTATACATTAATGTATCTATTGCCTGCTGATCTACTGCTTTAGCTTACGCCAGTGGTTCTCAAACATTTTTTGTCATTCCCCACTTAAGAGGGTGGGCGAATTTTCAAGCCCCACTTGTTAAAAAATTATAATGAAATTCGCCAATTTTTATTATAATAATATAATAATAAATTATAATGAAATTTGCCAATCAAATAACACTAAGTTGAAAAATATAAGTGCAACTGTATCGTTTGACAGGGGGACAGTTTTCAATTTTGCAGCCCTTGTTTCAGCATAATCGACACCATGTCTACAGCAGCAGGGAGAATGAGCTGCTCAACAATTGACTGGGGTGTGTTGCCTCTAAATGTCTTCTTAATTTGTTGGGTCCCGTGCTGTCTGCTGCCAGTGGTTTAAGACACAAGACACACATGGGTCTCTCCTCTGCCCCCACCATTCCCACAGTGAATCCAAGCACAAGATGGACTTCATTATATTTTCTTTTCAGCTGGCTTTTTGGTTGATAAGGCTACTGCCTGTTGTTTCTTTGTCT